CATACATATATACATAAACACATACATACATACATTGATAAGTGTCATGAAATTTTTGCAGGGCAAAGGAGGCATGACAACATTTTGGTTGATTGGTCGTCAGAATTTTAACCAGCTTGTTTCACCCGACAGTCAAATACAGTCAGCTAACACCAACGGACAGAGCATTCATAATCACCGCTATGAACATCTTTATGATCAGATGTGCACTGGTCGTATTCAGGTGCGTGATCCAAAGAGAAGTACCCTGAAAATGCCAATGCAAGATCTATCGGTGGATCAGTGATGCTTTAGATAGGCAATGGGTCCACTAAAGACACATGTAGAGGGCTTATGCCGACTTTGTTAAAAGCAGAAATACTTTTAGTACGAATACTTTGAAACATTTTTCCGTCTTAAATTAAAGAGCCTGAGCCAAACAGCGTTTGTTTCTCACGTACAAACAGATAACCGCAAAAAAGCTAATTAAACACAGCTTCTTAGATATTCTCACTTGTCATATGCTGTTAATAATTAAAATTATGTAAGCAGGTACACGTGTATAATCTTAAGCCCTCTCCAGAGTATCAAATTATATTGGGACATGCCTAAATATGGTCATGATGACATCACATTATGACCATATATAGGCACATCGTGACTATATATGGCACAACAGTTTTTTTTTTCATAGTGTGGACAGAGGCTTTTAAGTTTTATTTCTTTGACTTTCAGGCCTACTTATTTTCTCTGGTAATACTTATTCTTAAGGCCCCTGTATGGTTAGCCATGGTACTAAAAGTTCGATACGTGAAGTTTGTATCAGTATTGTGTTTTGGTTTGGTTAGGCATACTTGTTGTACTTAAAGTTTTATAATTACAGTATGTGATTTGTCTAAGACATTATTTGTATCAGTACCGTATTTAAGTATGTGTTTGTTGGATTCATATATTATCAACGAACATAAGAAACACAACACTAAATGAAAAGTGGGAAACGTAAGAGAGTATTATTCTTACTCCAAGAAAAGAAATAAACGCCATCGCGCTGGGAGTGTATTGCTTTATAGCTCAGTAGGTTTAAATAGGGACAATGCGTTACTCTATAAAAAAAAAATAAAAAAAATAACCTTACGACTAGAATGTGTGGCGTGTAAGTGAATGAGTGAGAGGGAGTCGCTATCATGGTAGAAACAAACAGCACGACTAGACATCTTAGACCTTTAATGTGCCTCACACCTTTATGTGTAATAGTTACAAAATCAGGTACCGTAATCAACCACTTCCCCAAAACACATCTCAAGAAGCCAATGTACTAATCAATCATGATTCGATCTGCCTTGTTTTATTGTCTCTTCTAATTAACTAATACCATTTTCACATATGTATGGATTTTAAAATTAGCCCTATCTGCTCTATATTTTATAGGGCTATTTTATATTTATCTAAAAGGTATGGTAATTTACTTATATGTAGTGTATTTCCATACATAGGCCTACTTGTACGTGGAACGAATATTAACAATTCAAATTGTATAGGCTGGTGTATCGCATGTGTTTATTATTAGCATTAGCAAACATTAATCGTAAGTACGTAAATAATTTTATTCTGTGTTTCTTCTAAGTAAGTAATATACCCATGTATGTTGAAATAATTATCATGTTCTCATGTTACATTTAGTCGTATACTGTGGAAATACATTAAAAGCAAATATTAATTGTGTGCATAAGCTTTATTAATAAGTAAGTAATATACCCATGTATGTTGAAATAATTATCATGTTCTCATGTTACATTTAGTCGTATACTGTGGAAATACATTAAAAGCAAATATTAATTGTGTGCATAAGCTTTATTACTGAGCCATCATAGATCGTTTTTATTTACAATAGGGGGTTTTCGTAAGCTTGCGAAAACGAATTCGGTTACGTCATATTTTTAGACAACCCTTCCCATACGGTAGCATATCTGTCACAAAGTAGGCAATGCATGAAAAGGATCATATTTAGCTCGTACAGCAGATTATCAATATGATGTTTTAGGCACGAAGATGGTGATGAAGTATTCGTATTTGTTATCCTTTAAAATTTAATAATTTTGTGTTATTTTAAACACTTTGGATAAAAGTTTGGATAAGTGGATTTAGATAGCGGGCGCTGTCTAAAGTTTTAGAGACGTCGTATTGTTTTTTTCTGGATCAATGTTCCGCTGCTTGGGAGAACAGTTCTGCTGATGTGTCCTACGTACGTGGCTGTCATGAGCTGCGTGAGAGGCAAACGCCTTGAGACAGTGCTTGCATTTGAATGGCTTCTCACCACTATGCTGACGTATGTGCGTACGCAGAATACTTGATGCTGTAAACGCCTTACTGCAGTACACACACTTGTAAGGACGCTCTCCGCTATGGACTCGATGATGCTTGTTTAAGCTAGATGACTAAATGATCAACATAATACAGTAATTATAAAATAATAATAATAATAATAATAATAATAATAATAATAATAATAATAATAATATTATTAATAATAATAATTAATAATAATAATAATAATTATTATTATTATATAGCCTCTATATAATGATGATGATTATGATGATAATAATGATGCATCGTCATCATTTTTAACAGAATAATTTCACTATTTAAGTTCTTACTCACCTGTGAGAAACATTTGCCACATACTCCACATTTGTGTGGCCTGTACTTTTCGTGAACATGGAGAATGTGTATACGGAGACGATCACGCTTTTCGAAAGATCGTCTGCAAAGATGGCACGGGAACTTCCGGTCACCTTGATCAACACAACGAGTGTACTTCAAATGCTTATCCCTGTAATACTTGTAGGCGAATACCTTTTCGCATTTTTTACATTTGTATCCCTCTGATTCTGTCAAAGATAAATAAGTATTTTTAGGATCTTTAACATAATTATACAGATGTCAGTGTTCTTACAATTAAATTGTTTAATTTGTACAGTTTAAATATTTTAAATTTAAATTTTGCGAGAAAATATTTTTCTCACTAATTTGAACAATTTTCTATAACACTTTAACTATTCGCGTAACTAATTATGGTATCGTTTTAAACCCCAAGGTAGACTCTTACAGTGGTGTGAAGATTGTCTATCCAATGAGATTTACATGTTATCTTATCACTTATTAATTACATTGAATCAATTGATAGATGAAGCATCACACATCCACTCTTGCGAACACATAAAATAACGCGTTGCCCTGATCATTATAAAGGTAAATAGCCCTTCATAATTCTAAAATATTTATTTATAATTGGTTGGTTCTAAAGCTTGATCACCCAATGATTTCATAATGTGGTATTTCCCATGGCCCAAGAAATACCATCCATCACCTAAATGATGGCAAGTAAGATCCTGGGCCCTACCACAATGGTTACCACAACGCGTAATGTACCTTCTTTTTCAGAGGCAGCACTTCCTTCTGCAGTGTCCTTCAATGCAATTGGGATCCCAAGTAATTGTTGATAGTTGTCCCCATACCACACCAATAATTCCATTCCATACAAGATGTCCTTACATGATTCGTAATAAACAGCACCACCATATTGTACAGCAGTAAGATTTTGCTCGGCGCTGTGTCTTGCGCAATTTATGAAACGTAACCAATTACCAGACGATCCTTCGCCGTCAACAAAATTGCAAAGTTTCCCATCTTTGAATATCTATTAAACAAAGCCAGCCAAATGTCAACTAATCAGTTGGATATGTTAATTAATACTAACATTGTATAATTAAAATAATGTGCGGTAGAATCTTGAAGAAACCTGGAACATTTTTCTGTTCTTTATATAGGCACTAATAGTACAGTACTATCATATAAATTATACATCAACCAACCAATTTCGCAGCAACTTCGATTCCATACAAATTACTTCATTAACGACATCTAAAGTAGGCCTACATATACCTAAGCCGCACTTGTGTGGGCGTATTATCAGTTAAAGAAGTATCGGATGGACCGTCTTCGATAGGCCTATCAACAGACCCCTGTGGTGATATGACATATCTATAAGAATATTACTACCTAAGTACAACCGATATTTTAAGTTGCTTATTTTCTTTATTATTATTATTATTATTATTATTAATATTATTATTATTATTATTATTATTATTATTATTATTTTTGTTAATGTTATTGTTATTATTATTATTATTATTATTATTATTATTATTATTATTATTATTATTATTATTATTAGTATTGCTTATATTTTCCAAACCTTTAGTTCCGTAATGATTTTCGTAAAGCTTTTTTTTTCTTCTTTTCAATTTTCTGTTGATTTTTGTCTTTTGGATGCACCATCATTTTCGATGTGTGCCACTGTAATAAAAGTGATTCCAAATAACAACAAGTGATTGCGGGTTCAATTCCCAAAGGCAGGAACGTTTTGTTTTGTACAATCATAAGGAATGTTAATATTCTATGCCGGATACGATTTTCAATAATTTTTCCTTTATTTGGCAGTTATGGTGCTCATGGTGCATTATTGATATTTCTATTTTGCTTAAAAATTAACATACCGGTACTATTTTATAATACTATTTCTGATGGAATGTAACTCATACCTCCCACATGTAACTGTTTTCTGCGTTTGTCTTGATTTCGCTAACGTGTGTAATACGACCGCAATAAGGTCCGAAACGTGTCCCTTTTGGAATTACACCCTGATTGCAGAAAACTCCACGATGTGTAGCGCCACCAATTGCTGTGCTCAATATAATTACGCCTAAAAGATATATAAAAATAACGAATGATTATTGTCAATACACGTAATGATTATATGATAAGGTTACGATAAACATTAGGTGGCCACCATAATATTATGGGATCATATTGATATGAAAATAGTATTTCATATTTGAAAAAAATGGCTTTAACGAAGGTAAATATTTTCTTTAAAAAAAATCGTAAACTAGATAGGCCTATTTTTCCGTGTCTGTAATGTGGTAAAGTTCATCCATTGTATAGGTTTAAAACATCTGAGATTTGTTGATGAGTTACTATTACATGGCAAAAATTGTTGCCAACAATATACATTGCATTATATATTTTTTGGACGGAAAATGTACCTAGATCGACCTATGAATTGTTCTGTTATTACATCCTAATTATGGTAAGATAGTGAAATATCCTATCAACTGACTGAGAAAAGAACAGAGGAAAGGTCAAATACAAAAATGAAATTATTCTTTACCGTCAGGTATGCTTAACCTGTCTTTGCCACTCTTCAGGGTCTTTCGGTTGTCAAGAGATTCTCTGCACACTGATTGGGTTAACGGTGATGTCCAACTATTTCCAGAACTCTCAGGCGTTGGTGTGGACATAAACGGCTTTTGTAACACATCTACAAGAAATACACAACAGGAGTGTATCCAGGATTTTTTTTTTCTGGGTAGGTCGTGATCATAATTTTTTGGACCTTTTCAGTGGGAGACAGGAAAATCGATTACAGCGCCACCAGCTTGAAGCGGATGGTAGGCTCAGTTTCAATTGCTGGAATTGAGATAGATTAATTTACGCAATTGGCAAGGTCTTTGGACTCATTGGTGGTACCTCATCAATGCTTTTTCATTTATGTCATTGTGAAAAGGCCCTAGAAAAAAATATCTTCGGAAAAATGTGGACCTTTGAAAATGTTGGTTTTGGACCTTTTCAGTGGGAGACAGGAAAATCGATTACAGCGCCACCAGCTTGAAGCGGATGGTAGGCTCAGTTTCAATTGCTGGAATTGAGATAGATTAATTTACGCAATTGGCAAGGTCTTTGGACTCATTGGTGGTACCTCATCAATGCTTTTTCATTTATGTCATTGTGAAAAGGCCCTAGAAAAAAATATCTTCGGAAAAAATGTGGACCTTTGAAAATGTTGGTTGGGGGGGGGGGGGCGGCAGGGTCGTACCACCTTCCCGACCCCCTTGCATACACTCATGCACATTGCACAAATGCAATAAATTGTAACCCTGCGGATGTACGAATTGTATATTCCGATCCTCCATTAGAACGATTTCGACATTGAATAAAGGAGCATCTGTATGCAAAGTGGATCCATGTATTGCTTGACATTACGATGCGTAACATTTTCCGAACAATGTTTCGAACACAATGTTAATATTGTATACTTTCTCTATCAATTATTAATACAGGCCTACAGTACGGTGTGTTGCATAGTAATTCATACATTCAATTTTTAAGGGTCATATAATATGAAGTGTTAAAATCAAAATGATGTAATATACTATTTGTGTAAAACCCTGTCACTAAAATTTGATATATTTGTATAGGGATTTAGTATACTTTCCTCAGTTTCAATTATCCTTAAGGTTAATTTATAAGTGAACAGCCACCGGGAAATGTTGGAAGGTGGAAAATAGTGACAAAAGAGCAGCCTTTCTTTCCACGGTTTATACTCATATTCCGAGCCTAAGTTAAAAACGCATTGGGAATGAGAGTGTGTTATCTGTCTCTTATACACATCTAATAAGTATTTTTAGGATCTTTAACATAATTATACAGATGTCAGTGTTCTTACAATTAAATTGTTTAATTTGTACAGTTTAAATGTTTTAAATTTAAATTTTGCGAGAAAATATTTTTCTCACTAAACAAATTGAATAATGAGCGTATATATTCAATATATATATATATATATATATTTCTTTTATTGCCAAACAAAAGCATAACATAAAAATTATACAGATAATGAAAAACAAGACTAACTGAGCTGATTGGCAGAGACACACAAGTGAACTTAATCACTATAACAAAATGTCTGTGCCCCTCATCAACCAAGTTTTACATAAAAACAAACCTATGTAATATATACAAATAAAATGGTTAATTAGAATAGAAATGGAAGTTAAAAAATTATGAATCGGATTTTACAAGTATACAATATAAATAGAGAAAAAATAAAAAATAATAAAATAAAAAATAAATATGAAATTCATCAAAAATTAATGCACACACACGTCCATATATAGAAAATTAGGATTGAGAAAAGTTGATGTTAGAATTAAGAAGAGAATAAGTAAGATTTTAGGTTGTTTAAGAAGACAGAAAAAGAGTTGATATAGTCACAGACCCTATATACAGTTAAGGAGTCTTCAAGAGTGTTTGGGAAAGAATGCCAGAGTCTTGGAAACTCGTGAATAGCAGAGAGGTGCAAACAGTTGGTCCTTGCTTTAAGGTGTTTGTGATGTAGATAGCTATCTAGATGTAGTGTATCTAGATATAGTGTATCTATATCATCATGCGAGTGTTGACAATGTGTTCATGAACAGAGGAACAATCAAATTTACCAGAGGGATTTACAAATGAAAAAAAGATAGGGGGTATTTTCTTCGAGCTGAGAGACGGGCGGATCCAGAGTGTCCAAAAAGGGGGGGGGGGGGGGAGTGGGACCGATCGAGATAACAATAAACTAGGGGTTCCGGGGCACTCCCACGCAAAAATATATATATATGAATGTATAAATACATCTTTTACTATGACTTCCAAGCTGCAACCTATAAGCTTTTCTAGCTTATCCACTGCTCCACTATGTGTGAGCATTTCAGTCAGTTGTCTGAAAGAAAGTGCCTGGTGGTTAAAAAATGTAAATCATCTGGTAACATTTGATGTACACCTATATTAGAACTATTTTAGCGTCTACAATAAGATGGCCCTACACAAAATGTTGATTGAGTGGTAATAGCAAGTTCCGCCTAGACTCTAGACCTCTTGTTAATCGAATACGTTTGCTGTATGTAGGCCTACACTAATGGCTGATTCAATTAGACGCTTACTTGAAATCAATTCTACTAATTATCACCTACCGTATAATAAATAAATTGTGTGTTAATTAGAAATTCTCATAATATAGACACTAACAATCTCACTGTCCCAGGCGACTTGCGCTAACGTCTGAACTGGAGTTTAAGATATATTTATACAAAGTCATTGTCATCGTCTCCACCACCACCCCCAACGTCGTCGTCGTCATCATCATCATCATCCTCCTTATCCTCATAATCATCATCATTAAAATCGTGATCATCAAAATCATTATCCTTCTCCTAATCATCATCCTCGATGTCGTCAATATCATCATCACCACCATCATCATAAATATCGACATCAATATCATCATCAGCAACATCTTTCTGACACAGCCCCGATCGAAGTGAACATTAATATGCATAAAGTAGCCTCTGACACAAGAAACCAATCAACAAAACGTAACTTAACGAAGATGACCAAAATAACCAGAAGCTTAGAAAATATATCTAGGCGTACTTTATACATTATCTAGCGCTGTTTAAATATTGTCATGTTGGCCTATATCTTTGTTGCCCATGCTAAAAGGGTCTCCTTTTCAACATCTAAATTCCACAAAATCCATTGCTTAAATATGCATATTGATTTATTTTACTTAATTAATTTGTCTTGATAAGTGTCATATACAAAAAAAAAAAAAAAAAAAAAAACTTAAAAAAAAAAAAAAAAACCTTAGAAAAAGGAAAAATGTAAATGGCTTTTAATTAAAATTGAGAATTTCCCCAGTCTCCTGTATGTACATTAAAACACAGCGCAGTGTATTCTTTTTTTGCCTTGTGTATATTTATGGCAGTCTATTCCTTTGGTGTAGTCATAGTAGAAGCATATCTAAATGCCAATAGATTAACAAGATTCACATTATTCTCTATTATGTATGAAAAGCAAGGGTCATTCTAAAGTCCAGTAGAAAATGTGTGACACTTAAATTGATTGATTTACTATTTGCCAGCCTGTTTTTTTTTTTCTTTTTGTGAAGCTGTTCATGGCACGTTAATATCTACCATGTAAAACCACCTAAATGCCATACAAAACTAAACTCGGATAAAGAAGCTATAATTTTTAAAAGCCAATAGATTATGTTGCTGATATCATGCTGGATCAATATCACTCTCAATTAAATGTTTTAAATGTTACTATACTGTGAACAACGTCGTCGTCGTCATCATCATCATCATCCTCCTTATCCTCATAATCATCATCATTAAAATCGTGATCATCAAAATCATTATCCTTCTCCTAATCATCATCCTCCTCATCCTCATAATCATCATCCTCGATGTCGTCAATATCATCATCACCACCATCATCATAAATATCGACATCAATATCATCATCAGCAACATCTTTCTGACACAGCCCCGATCGAAGTGAACATTAATATGCATAAAGTAGCCTCTGACACAAGAAACCAATCAACAAAACGTAACTTAACAAAGATGACCAAAATAACCAGAAGCTTAGAAAATATATCTAGGCGTACTTCATACATTATCTAGCGCTGTTTAAATATTGTCATGTTGGCCTATATCTTTGTCTCCCATGCTAAAAGGGTCTCCTTTTCAACATCCAAATTCCACAAAATCCATTGCTTTAATATGCATATTGATTTATATTACTTAATTAATTTGTCTTGATAAGTGTCATATACACAAAAAAAAAAAAAAAAAAACACCTTAGAAAAAGGAAAAATGTAAATGGCTTTTAATTAAAATTGAGAATTTCCCCAGTCTCTGTATGTACATTAAAATGCAGCGCATTGTATTCTTTTTTTGCCTTGTGTATATTTATGGCAGTCTATTCCTTTGGTGTAGTCATAGTAGAAGCATATCTAAATGCCAATAGATTAACAAGATTCACATTATTCTCTATTATGTATGAAAAGCAAGGGTCATTCTAAAGTCCAGTAGAAAATGCGTGACACTTAAATTGATTGATTTACTATTTGCCAGTCTGTTTTTTTTTTTCTTTTTGTGAAGCTGTTCATGGCACGTTAATATCTACCATGTAAAACCACCTAAATGCCATACAAAACTAAACTCGGATAAAGAAGCTATAATTTTTAAAAGCCAATAGATTATGTTGCTGATATCATGCTGGATCAATATCACTCTCAATTAAATGTTTTAAATGTTACTATACTGTGAACAACTGTTACTATACTGTGAATGACTGTTACTGTCCAATTTTTATAATGAAATAAAAATAGCACATCTTAAATGTTGAAGACTACAAACATCAAAACAAACTTGTGTAACTTGCTTGATTTTTTAAATTCATTTATTCTATCGGAAAAAAAAAATATCCTTGTGCAGCTAATCATGAACAATCTACACTCTTTAAATATAAACTTATTATGCAACTATATTAAAATAAAATAAATTAAATATTCCTGTCTGTTTAATAATAAGTGTGAAAAACAGATTGAATAATTTGGCCTTGTCTACAGGTTTACCTGCACCTTTATTCATTTTTTTAATAATGAATACTATCACATAAACTAATTCCAGAGAAAATGTTTGGATTGTACAGGCATATTTAATTGATTTTCGTAAGTTATTGACTCACCGGGTCATGTCCTGTATATCTTTGACAACATAAAACCTCAAAATCATTCTTTCCTGCTAATAACAAACCTTTGGTTATTACAACTAAACTTTAAATATAAACTATATCGAACGTTATAATAATACAAATAAGCTTTAAATTAATTAGCCCAAATTAATACGTTGAATTTTGTTTAATTATCTTCATTCATGATCCCGACTCTCTCTCTCTCTAACACTCCAATGCTTTGTCATTTCTTGCTTGATAATTAACACACCTACATTCACATAGTCTTACATTTTTACTTTTTTGTGCCATTAAAGGACTTGTAAAATGGAATTTCTTATTGAAAAAATATAAATTTAAGTGAATTGTAGCCTGAAAAGACCTCTAAAAATATTGATATATTTATGGAGTTTCTTGCCCATCATTAAATATAATGCAATTTGCCACTTTGTTTTGCATTATCCCTTGTTACTCTACTTTTATACTTTTTGAACTTCTTACAGAATTTGTTTTTGCTGGTGTATTGTTTTCTAGTTACATTATAGGTGTCCTAGGAATCTGATCATACCTTGCTTACATGGACATTTAATTTTTTGAATGCAAAGATTTCTTTGGAAATGACCAGTCTATCCAAGAATTTTGCTTAGGGTCCATTCTGGTCAGTTAAAACATACTTGTAATAATAACAAATATAATAACAACTATTAGCAAAAACTCTAAAGATTGGTGTTACTCTTACGAAATCCAGGAAGGTTTTCCAACAAATTCAAGGGCAAGGGAAATATAATCGTAGAATTCTTTTCTGCCGATATCATGTTCAACGTTTGCAAATAGCGAAGTTGAAGTGCGACCGGTGTTTCAGCCATAACGTCTGCTGCCTCTTTGAGAGCACGAGATGAATTCTGTTCACCTTCAGCAGCAATCACCTGAAATAATAATGTTTGTTCAATTAGTTTACCATCATCTTTGTATATATTAACAAATATATCTTCTCGCGATGTGGAAGCGTGTGTCCACTTAGACTGCTCTACCAACATACGATGAGGCCAAGTAGCATACACTCTTCTTAAGGTAATAATACGCAAACGATAACAATAATTGCACTACAGTACTAGGAATACTTCCCGTGGAGTGGAGATGTTTGCACATTGTTTACGGCTGTTGCAAAGGCATCCAGTAACAAGGAGTAGGTTTATTTGGACTTTGAAATATATTCATAAACAGTTGGTGCGGCAGTGGCCCATTTAGGAGTCATGGAACAGGGTATTGCACATCCCGCAAGAAGGTGAAGTGGGGAGCTCCATGATTACGTGAGGGGTGCCAGCTTGCAAAATAAGGTGATTTTTATCTACTTGAGCGCATTTTTTTTCCTTCAAAAATTGCCAATTGTGGAGACCAATATTGTTATTACAGTAGAACCCATCTTTTAGGACACCCCTATTCAGGGGACACCTCTATTAAGGGGACACTTTTCCGTCAAACGAGGGGTAATATATCTTTTAACACTACAGCCAACCCCTAATAAGGGGACAGGGACACGTTCTGAGTGTGCCAAATGGTCAAATAACCCCTATTAAGGGGACACTTAATTTTTTTTTTATTGTATCACAACAACTACAGCAGCCTCAAATTAAGACAAATTCATTCAACTTTATATTCTGACACATTTTGAGCAATAAACCAGAATTTTCTCCCCTGAATCCTTAGAGTTAATATCAGTATAGGCCTACTGCATGTGTTACTTTGTATAAGCCAATCTGGTCAATTTTGACCCTTAACTATGGGGATTTATTTTCCTTTGTTTTTCGTGTACTTTCATATAGGATTCTAATCTATACCATAACATGCACCCGTAATTTCAAGTCGATACTCTATTCATGCTACATTCATTCAATACAAGCTCAATATTAAAAGAAAAAAAGAAGTATATTTGGTCAGTGACATTGCATCATGAAACAAGATTGGGAACATATTTCAATTAAATTTCTGCTGATTTCATATTATAATGAATTGTATTTGCATTGCAAATTATTGCTATAAAGTTCTGATTCTGCTGTAAAACTAATTATGTCAATAAAAATAAAATTATAAAGAATGTATGTCATCGTTATATGAAAACATGCCAAAAACCCGTATTAAGGGGACAATTTTACATTTTTGGTTAGTTTCCCCTGAATAGGAGTACCCCTATTTAGTGGACACTCCTATTAAGAGGACACTTTTTTGGTCCTGAAGGTGTCCCCTTATAAGGGTTCTACTGTAATTATTATTCCTCAAAATCATATTATCACTGATGAAGGTAATTATTTATGTAAGATTTAATATCAATTGTATATTATACAATAGAGTGAGTAAAATTTGTTGTAAGAAGTATACATTATACACTTATGAGTATCTAGGTATGATTTTCTCAATGGGAACAATAATGCAATTCCCTATAAATATCTATATTTACTGTAATTAAAGTGATATGAATGTAAACACTGGATATATAAATCTAACCTTTGCCCTCGCTTCCCTTGCTGCTTCAGCCTCTGCCGCCATGGCACGCTGCAACTGCACTGGTAATCTCACATCTTTCCTGAAATTCAATAAGGATTCCGGGTGATGACTCTGACACTAATAAATATTTCTTTTTCTCCTACATCTAACAGCAAACACTTGGCAAGTTAACAGGATTCATTGGCACTTTTATAAAACTAATTCTCTTTTAAATGAAGCTTAAGTAGTGATGTTGTTTATAAAAGTTAGAAATACAACAGCTACAGAGTTACACCCTAGAGGTTTATGATTGGTTTCGTGATTGAGGATGATAATTATGTAAATGGCAATGATGTTTACTATGATACTGACTGATGATGACTAAATGATGATAAGTGATGATTGATATTGAACACTGATATGATATCGACAGCAATGCCCACAGGCTTGGTCATAATAACACCACCAATAACACAAATAATTATAGTTTTCAAAACAATGTTAATTAAATTGTAAAAAAAAAATGATAATTAAAAGTATGGATAACAGTATTTTGGTCAGAGTTAGGCAAAATCCAATCCTGTGGTTAACAATGAGAGTTGCTGACACAAGCACCAGGGGTGTAGCTATTGAAAACTGAGGGTGGGTGTTAAAATTCTTAGGGTGGGTTGAAAGTGCGTATAATTTGGCGTTAGTTAACGACAAGTAGGCCTATCAGCACTACGTACAGTTAGCACTATTCAGGCTAGAGAGGCATAGTGATATTACTGTATATCGATCAATTCACTTACCGCAATGTATTACACACCGCATAATGATTAAAGATCTTGAAATTATTGCAATAAGTAAATCAAAAAATAACATGCCTGTTTTAAACTGAAAATGGTCTAAACCTTTGTCATCGCTTTCTTTTCTAAACTAGGCTAGCTCTGTCGAAAGTATGTTGCATGAGAGCTAATTTCCAGCTCAACTCTAACTTGAAAAATCGTGTCGAATTTCGTACCTCACAGGTGTTTCACGGTTTAACTTTTGGCCAGGGCAAGTGTGTGCTTGTGTATGCAGTGCATAAAACATGGATGGATGCCAATTTTAGCGCCCATTCCAAGTATGGGTAATCCCTGTTTTTAAGTACTTGGCGGTCATGAACTTTATAGTAGAGACCACCGGGAACCAAAATTTATGATAAAAAAAATAGCCTATAGGCCTTGTCATTAGATTGACAAGTTGGGACATTTTCGGCTACATGCTAGATTGCCTGTACCATTATAGACAGACAACAAACAAACCACCTCACTCTCATGCCAAGTGACGAATCACATGTTTTCTACGTTCAGTGAAGCAAGCACCTTGGCGAACAACATTCTGACTGGTGCGAGAATCCATTGACGTGTTTTAAAAGCATTATTATTGAGCAAAAACTTGTGTTTGTTCATGATTTTAAGGGTGGGTGGGAGGGTTTGTATGAGGCAAGGCGGAAGGCCTTAAAAAAGGCTTTAGGATGGGCAAAAGACGTCAAGACTGGGCGGCCCCGCCCACCTCCACCCTGCATAACGACATCCCTGAAGCACAGACACGAATGGACCATTAGCGGCGAAAAAAATCATTGAGTTCCTAGTCCACATGTTAAGCGCCATGAGCATCTTGTTTGATGGATACCGGCGCTATACAAATCTACACTATTATCATTAATATATATTTTATAAACTGAAAATTTTGTTTTCTACACAACACAAAATAAAACACAAAATATTAATATATAATACCAAAACAACATTAAAAATAATACGATACTATAGAATTAAAATTGGTGCTTAAAAGTATTATTGTAGTAGGTAGAGTTTATTGTAGAAAACATCTACTGTACCAGCAACTATAAGTTAAACTTACATTTCAACTCTCTCTACTTGGACGCCCCAAGGGTCGGTAGCTTCATCAAGGACAGTCTGCATATGGGTACTTAAATTCTCCCTTTCAGATAGCACTTCAGCAAGAGTCTTCATTCCAAGACAATTTCTCAGTGTGGTAGCAGCAAGAAATTTGGTAGATTTCTGAGCATCAACAACATTAGTGATTGTCATGGTTGGATTAAAAACTCGGTAGAAAACAACTGCATCTACAGCAACAGTGACACTGTCCTTTGTCAAAATCTGAAACAAAAATGAAAATATTGAGTTTGGTAAAGAAATACATTACAACAACTTAAGGTAAACCTACTCATTCCTCTATCTACAGCCTTTGGCGAGAATTGTTTATACCTTGTTTTGTTATTTCTTTAAATACCGTTAGAGGAGGATGGAAAGCAAGTGAACCCGCCACCCGCCAATAACAATGATTTCAAATAAAATTAATTTTTTTATTATTTCGTGATGTACTCGCCACCACGAAAAAACGGAAATTTCAGAAAAAAAAAACAAGTTTCTCTTTATTTTTACATGCCCATTGCTGCCTTGAAATCTCCAAAAATAAAATATGTATATTTCTTCTTAATTATGTAAATCTGAAGCATTTAACCATCACAAACTATTTGCTTAATAAGAAAATACAATTTTTTTTCCTGCCTCTTCTGACAACCTTTAAAATCATAAGTTCCCAAAACAAGGTATAAAAAAAGTCTCGCCGCAGCAAATAGTTTTGCCAAAAACATTCAGACGGAAACATACAGGAAACGCAAGCTAACACCAAAGAGTCCGACTACTGCTGTGGTTTCATTGGAACTCAAAAAGTACTTCCACAAGGGGGCGTCGCCTTAAAAGACGCTTGATGATCAAACGTGTGCTGTGTGCATGTTCGAGTTTCGAACTCTATTCGAATTCAAATAGGGTGCCCCTTATTTCGTGGCAGTACTTTTTTAACGTTCCATTGCCAGCATACAAAATCATGGCAGTCGGACCTCTTGCAAATTTTATACTCTTCGCTAACACTCCAACAGCACAGGATCCATGAAACATTCATTCATGAGTGAATCGGGTATTAAATAACTTCACTTCTTACTGTAAGCCTCTATATCATACAAATTATAAAAAGTAACTAGAAATTGCAAATTGCAAGTGAAGTGCTGCGAAGTAAAACTGCATAAAATGTTCTTCGAACAAAATTATTTATGCGAGTCAAGTGAAAATAATGAATAATAAAAATATAACAAATAATATGAGACACGACCCATTGTCTATATATAGAACAGCGTTGGTACCGTGTACAATAGTGTTGCAG